TTGGAGTTCTGACATAAATTAATGATTTTCCCAAGGCCTTCCATACTTGGTATCTCATTAAAGTATACTGTTTGAATTAATTTTGGGGGAAATTTGTTCCAGTCCTCTGTTTCAACGACCATCACTGTATGGATTTTCTTCAAATCTGTATCTCTATTTTATTTCTTGCTCTGAGTTGCTTTACTATGGTATATTTATCAACTGGGTATTTCCACTTGAAAGTGCTATAGAAATTTAAACTTACGCAGTTATAAATTGAACCCATCTTCTACATTCCCTCCTCTCAGCCTCACCTTCTACCTCTTTTGGGTTGTTCCCTGTCAATGTGAATGGCACTAACATTCAAGCCAAATGCCGGGACATACTTCTTGACTCTTCCTTTTCCTTCAACTACATCTTTCAAAGGATCCTTAACACAGCAGCCTCTACTTATTACTGATTTTTTTTTGGTACCTCTATTTTTCTCCAAATTCTTTTCTGTTTCTAGAGAGGCCCACCATAATCTTTCCCATGGCTTTACATACATACTTTTAACCACTTTTCCCACTTCTAATCTTGGTTCTTTCTAAGCATTTTCTTCACTCTAATAAGAGTAATACAAATATAATCATCTTGCTTACCTATGTAAAGTTCTCCAAAAGTACATATTGTCTTTGTGATAGACACCAAACTTTTTCATAAGGCTTACGTGACACTGTCTGGTTTGTTCACTGCCTTTTCCTCAGGCTCATCTCTTGCTGCTATTCTTGTCCCCCAATGATCACTGGATCACCGGGATGGCTATCTATCTCTTGAATGCCTCAACTGTTTTCAACCCTCCATCCTTGGTGCTGCTGCTTCCTTCTGCCTGGAACAGTCTTCTGAGTCCTCATTCATCCAACACATACATGTAGAGACTTAGCATGTGCCCAGTCCTGCATGTGTTGGTACACAAAAATGACATGGTCCCTCCCCTCGTAGGGTTCAGGTATGTAAGGTTTTAGTAATGTATTCAATCTGAGGCCAATGTTAAATATGAACATGTAAATATGAATGGTGATAAGTAGGGGAAGGAACATAGACTGTAAGAGAGTGTGAGATGGACCTAATTTAGACTGGGAGGAGTAATCAGGAAGGGCTTCTTTGAGACAGTGAGGGTACCTGAGACTGGATTCTCTTTGGGTCCTTTTTCTACTTCTTCCTTTAAGAAGTCCTCCCTGGCCTTCCAAGTATGGGTTTAATGATTTAGAGCTCACACAGCATCACACACTGCCCTATTAGATTTTTTTTGTCCTGTTATATTGTAGTCACCACTCTCCTCTAAAATGTAGGCTTGATGAGGACAGGGTTAGAACCTCGCTGGCTGCATCTTCAATTTTAAGCAAGTAAGTAGTTGCTCATGAAAATCTGTGACAGTTTGGGATAAAGCTAGAACTCCTCCCAGTAATTTGAGAAGCACTGTAGTATATGGACTGTGTTCTCTGCCAGAATTCTTCATAGGATAGAAAAATTTGGGAGTCATTGTCCTAATGTTTGGTGTGACCCACTCACATCTCTAGGGCTGTGCTACTATCAACCATGGCTCTTCACAGAGCTTCATGTGTGGTCCTGGCAGCAAGCATTAAGAGATGCCACAATGGAAAGGAATATCACACCTTTTGAAAGGACCTAAGGTGGTATTGGATATTGTAATAAATAAAAATATATCTGTTCTAGTCAATGAATTAATTATATATATAAATTTAGGATAGAGGGCAAAGTGTGACAATGACCCTGGTGAATATGGCTCATATCTGGGTTCAGTTCAGTTGCCTGTCATTTGAAGGATCCCCTGCTTCACCTCAGGATGGTATTAAAACCATGCCAGTGATGATGATGATGATGATGATGATGATTATTTTGGATTTGAAGATATATAGGAAAAATCCTTTTGTGGCAGAAGTCATTACCAAACACTGTATATAAGCAAGTATTATTATCCATATTTTAATTTGTGGAAACTGAGGCTGAAATGATCTGCGACTTGCCCCAGGCACAGCTAGTAGAATTAGCTGTGGGGATTAGTCCTTGATCATAAAGCCTTTATTCTTTTTGCTATATCACAGAGAATTTTGTCACTCCTCAGTAAAAAGAATTAGAAGTTTCTTCCCTCAGACTAATCTCAACATCTTTTTCTGTATTTTAAAGTTGTTGAGTAGTAAGGCTAAAAAATAGATCTGTGAGATATGGAAGAATGAGCTCCCATGAAATCACTACATTAAAATGTGAAATGCATGATCTCTCCTTGCCTCTTACTCTGCTTAACTCTCGTGACTTCACCTGGCTGCTCACAGTTATCTAGAAGCTTCATTATATTTCAGGGTAACCTCTGTCTTCCCCTGCCCCCCCGCAATGCCACTGCAGTTGGTGCATCTCTCATGTGAACACACAACTTGCTTTGACATCTGATAAGATATGTACAGACAAGTAGCACAGTTACTCCAGCTTATCTTGAGTTTCCACTCTTAATCAGAGTTGTTTTGCTTAAGTTAAAAGCCCACTGAAGGCAGTTGCCAAGTCTGTACTTTTCTTTGTCTGACAATAAACTCAGAATCCCTAAGATATATGTGAATATATGTTGCTAGACCATCCCACTACCACTCTCATGGATTGTAGAAGATTGAAGATTTGGGTTTCCATGCAGGTACTGCTTGAGGTGTGGAAAGAAAAAGGAACAAGTTGCAGTTTCCTTTCTGTGGATTGGTGTCACTGGTTAAGTCTCTTCATTCTCTGATGAGGGTAGAGGGTGACCCTCCCTGTCAGTGAGAGCTACTTGGGATGGCTTTCCCTGCAGCTTCTAAGGCAGGAGGCCTTGCAGGTTGTCATGTGACTTCACTGGGTATTTTGCATAAATCCAATTTCCCTGAAACACAATCTTTTTGAAGTTGCTGAGGTCAGGAATGGCAAGGCAGGCCAGCAGCCCTGGCCCAGCTGGAGAGAAAACAGTATTTACATGGAGTTTAATTTGAGGTCAAGGGCAATTACGAGGGCTTTTTTGAATGACTCAAGTCCTCCCCCAACCCTCATTTCTCTATCAATTAAGTTAGGTCCAAGCCAAATGTATCTTAATGATATGAGGATGACAGGACATGACATGCTTCAACATTGATCATAAACACAGCTATCTTACAGGTAACTGGCCAAAACACAAGCACAATTATGTGTTTGATCAAGTTGACAAAGAAGACAAAGGTCAGGCAGATGAGCATGGTGAATGAGAACAGAAGAGAAGCTGTAGGGAGAAGGACTTTCTAATGAGTGGAGTTTGCTGGTACCTTGAAAACTGAGGTGAATTCTTCATATATGGAGCAGTTAATGTGAGCGAAGGGGTCTGGGAAGTCCTTTATCATCTCTATTGCTGGCCTTTCGTGGAGCCTAAATTCTAGTGATTAATCATTCATCTGGGTCAAGACATTGGATCTAACACCACATAAATGAAGCCATATTCTCAAGAATAATACTTTGACCTGTCGTCATTCAATAAAGCATTCATACACTTATTTATTAAAACTGCCAGTCTTAGGATCCAGAGGGAAGAGAAAAAAATCACTAGTTGATCTCAATGGCAAGGCAACATCCAGTGACTGAGGGTTTATTCTGCTCAAGTCCTTGTTCTGAGGAGGAACAAGGAAGCTTAAATCTAGGAGAAGGAAAAAGAAAAAAAACCCCAAATATTTCAAAGTTTAAAGACTAACTTCAAAAGAGATGAAAATGAGAACCATCTCACCCTTCATTGTTTTCCTTATTTCATTAATGGCAAATTTATTCTTCCTATTCTGTCTAGTTGAACTCTTAAAAAAAAAAAATATATATATATATATATATATATATATATATATATATATGTATATAAAATTGATTTTACCAAGAGGAATGGAGAGGAGTAGAGAGTTAGAAACATTGATGAGAGAGAAACATTGATCAGCTGCCTGGGGATGTGCCCACAACCAAGGTACATGCCCTTGACTGGAATCGAACCTGGAACCCTTCAGTCCTCAGACCAACGCTCTATCCGCTGTGCCAAACCAGTTAGGTTCAGTTGAACTCTTAAGTCATGTTTTCTTCCCCTTTCTCTAGGTTCCTCATGTGAAAAATATCATTGAAATATATTTTGAAGCACACAGTAAAATGCATAAATCTTAAGCGTAGAGTTCAATGAATTTGAAAAGTGTTTACACTGTGTAATTCTCACCCAAATAAAAAATACAGCATAATTACCACCACTGAATATTTGCTCCTGCCCTTTTGTAGTCAGTAACTCCCTTTTCACAGAGGCAACCATTGTGGATGTCCCTCATACAGAGTAGTCTTCCCTGGTCAATGAACTTCATATAAATGGAATCATGTATTTTGTATTCCTTTATGTCTAGCTTCTTTTGCTACACATATGTTTTTTTGTGCTTGTTCTTATTTTGGTAATGCAATTCTTTTTATTGTTGAGTTTTATTCCATTGTATGAATATACCAACAGGTGCTTGTTCATTTTTCTGTTGAAGAACATAAGAAATATTTCTTGTATTTTTTACTTTCATGAGCAGTTATGAAGCACATTGTTTCATAGGTCTTAGGGGGGCGGTATAGGTTTTCATTTCTCTTGGGTAAATATCTAAGAGTGAAATAGTTGAGTCATAGAGTAGGCATCTATTTCATGTTAACAGTAATTGTTAAACAGTTTCCAAAGTTAATGTACCATTTTCACTCCTAGTAGCAATGGATGAAAGTTTGGAAGACTGTCTCCTCCCCAAATTTGGTATTGTCAGCCTTTTCAATTGTAATCATTTTAGTTGATGTGCAGTGGAATCTCCTAGTGGTTCCTCATGTGTGATTATCCTTTAAGTCCCAGTGAATCATTTCTTGACATTCTCTCTTAGATACATCATTTTATTTTTGTTTTCTTCTTTTTAAAAATAGTCCTAGTCCAGTCTTGATCAACTCCCATTTGAACTGAGTGGTAATCTCTTCACTTGCCTCCCTTCCACCAGGCGACCTGGCTTCTGGTATTGCCCTGGCGGCTTCCTGATCACTGCTGTCCTTTGCTGCTGAAATTTTTAATGACTAACACCAATATCAGGAATCTTCAAACTTATGATGATTGCAGTGGAAAACTCTTTCTTCAGAGCGGAGCTCATCTGGTTGAAGGAAGGTGGGAACCTGCTTATTCATCATTCCCATTTGTTCTCCCTGTTCAATTGTAACTCCCAAGGTTTTTTGTGAATTCCTTGTGCTCTTTGAAGTGTTCCAGACTTGGTACCTGCCCACATCTAGAGCAGCAGCTCCCACACCTCCCTTACATTCCCTCTCAGCCATATATTCAGTGCTTATGGGCTTCTGAATACAAAATACTGTTCCAAGCTTTTAGGCCTCTGCTTATGCTATTCCTTGTCTTTGGAAAGTGCTTCTCTGCCCATCCTCCCAATGTCTGCCTGGGGAAATACGATGTCCTTTGTACCAAGATGCTCATACATGAAGTCTTCAGGGTTGATGTCTCCTTGTGTGTGCTACTCCTTTCCCTTGTATGTACCCTGCTGGGCTGCAGTAGTCTTAATCAACTTTGTTTCCCCTGTGCCTAGCAATCTGACATTCAATTTCCCTTATGTTATGATCTCAACCTACTTCTCTTACATTATCTTCGCTAGTTTCCATGCTTTAGCCTCGCACTCCTACTGCAGCGATACACATAATATACAGTACAAGCATTTCTTCCCATGCTGTGGCCTGTAATATCCTCCCTCACCTGGAACATCCTCTTCCCTTTGTCTTCTGTTCCCAATTCTGCCCACCTTATATCTGCTCCTCAGTTCTTCCATGAACCATCCCAGGACATCTACAATAGCAGTTAATTCTTTCTTCTCAGAATTATACTTAATATTTCTAAATTCCTTTGTCACTTGGCATATCCTTTCCAAAGGCCCATCATCTATTTAGAGAATTGAGACAAATACAAATGAGATAGTAACAGAATGATTTAGACTTCATTGTACCTCCCATCCTGTCCCACACAACCTGTGTGTACTAAGACTTACTGGGGCTCATGCACTATTTAGAACATGGGGGTATTGTGGGAGGGATAACTAGGTGGAATCCTCTTTAAAAGGTGGTGGTGAGCATCATGATAGCACCAAATACTGGAATGTTAGAGCTATCCATGTAAATGGTGGGTAGACCTGAAAGATTAGTTTTATTGTCACCAGTATTTCTCACTGGTCAGTCCTGTTCAGGAAAATGCTGCATCCTCCATGCCAGGTGGTTCTGATTCCTTCGAGTGCCTTTGGCTCTCTAATGGAATCCTGTGCTTCCTGACCTTGTGGATTTGCTGGAAGAGAAATAATTTTTATCTCTGCTGAAGGTGTTTCTAGCCCTCAGTTAGGAATCATCTAACTCTAGCAACTGAGAGCTAGAGGGAATTTGAGTCATTTGTCACCAGGGTCATCAAAGTGGTCAACAGACAAGCCCATACCTACAGGGATAGACTCTGCTGGGCACCATTAAGATTCAGGACATTGTGGCTCTGCAGGGTAAAACACCACAGTTTGTCAGAAAATAATGCGGACTCAAGCCGCTTTTGGTCTGGACAAACCGTTTATAAAGAGCCTAAGTTAAGTGGGCTGGTGGCCAATTTTTGAAGTCTAGTGTCATTTGAAATGAATACAAACAGCGGGGGATGAAGAAAAACCATGAATGCCACTGTGCTCAAATTAGCAGTTGGAGTTTCAGATATTGCTGGTATAGTATTCATGTGGCATAGACTCTATCTCAAAAATGCCCTACCTGCCCTTGAATGTTGATCACCCATTAAATCGACTATCTTTTTTTCAATAATTAGCCCTCTTAGATGTTTACCCATCACAGTATTTCCTTTATCTTTTTCTCTCACCCAAAGGAGAATTTGACCACCCCTGGTATCTGGCAAGTATCTTTTGCCTTTCTTTTCTCTATTGTTTTAACTTCCAGATAGTTCTACCCCCTAGTCTTTGGGCTGAGGCTGGGGTCTTTAGAATCCACATTAGGTTGGTGGCTGGGAGTGAGGCGGGAGGAGAAATCTGGAAGCTTGAGCCACTTTGTCAAAGGTCTGACCTCTAGAATTCCTGCCTACCTAATCTCCCTGCCTCCTGCAGATCAACAGTTGGTATTGCCTAAGCACTTTGAATTCTCATTATAATCTCTGGTTTGTTATCACTGACATTTTCTCATACTCCTTAGGGTTCTTTTATTTATGTGTTGTTTATGTAACTATATTTTAAACAGTTACATAAACAATAGAAGGACATTGCCTTTCTTTTGTGCCGTCTTAACCTCCATAGCCACAGGAAATTAGAACTAGGTATACTTACAGTAGGTGCTCAATAAATGTTTGCATTTTGGCATATCATATTGGCAAATCATTTAGGACAGTGGTTCACAAAATGTGTCCCAAAACCCACGAGTTTTCTAAGGCCCTTGTAGGAAGTCTGTGAGGTCAAAATTATTTTCATAATAATATGAAGGTGACATTTGCCTTTTTTACCTTGGACAGTGAAGCAAAAGCAAAGATGTTACAGCTTCTGGCTCCAAATTAAGGCAATGACACCAAATCGTAGAAGAAGGCAGTACAACCACCACATGCTTGTAATAATAAAAACAAAACAAAAATTGCCAGTTACACTTAGTTCCTAGGCAATGTTTTGGAAGTTATTTATTAAATGTCAGTCTTTGTATACACTTTTTAAAACTATCCTGTGTGATAAAGTGGGAAAAAGCCACAAAGAACTTCTGTTTCATAGTGATGTACAGAGCTTATCTCGAGGAAAAGCTGCGTTGTGAGCTGACCTAGAATTTTCCCTATGGAGCATTATTTTTACTAGAAAAAAAAATGCCAGGTAACCAAACCATGGCCATTCAGAATTAAATATTTGAGTCATTTTCTTAAAATTGGATGAAATGAGCCTGACATTTCAAGTACTAAAACAGACTGTAATTTTTGTCCAGTGATAAAATTCAAGCATTCAAGAGCAAATTAACTTTTGGAAAATTTGTGTCTATTACAGTGAACTTGATAACTTTCCATATTTTAAAGACTTTTGTGAAGAGGGTTGATATAATGAATGTGTTTATTTTATCCTGTATAATGGAATGTGTTAACATTTGGATGATCTACATAATTCAGTGAAATGTTTTTCAAATGATCAATACATGTTGTTATAAAATTGATTGGTAGAAGAAAGATCTAAAATGCAAGATAAGCCAACAGAGTTTAATATAAACAGCTTATAAAAAATTTACTGAGGTTTCACATTCATACTGCAACTAACCCTTAAGAAGCAACCTGTTGTCAAATTTTGGCAGTGTCAAAGTAAAAATATCTGAGAGATGCAAATCAAAACAATAGTGAGATATCACCTGTTAGAATGGCTATCATCAACAAATAACAAATGACAAGTGTTGGCTAGGTTGTGGAGAAAAGGAAACCCTAATACACTGTCGGTGGGAATGCAAAATGGTGCAGCCACTGTGGAAAACAGTATGGAGTTTCCTCAAAAAATTAAAAATGGAACTTCCATTTTGACCCAGTCATTCCACTCCTAGAAATATATCATAAGAAACCCGAAACACTCATCAGAAAGGATATATGCACCCCTACGTTCATAGCAGCACAATTTACAATAGCAAGATTTGGAAACAGCCTAAGTACCCATCAGCAGATGAGTGAATAGAAAAGTTTTATCATTTACACAATGAAATACTATGTGGCAATTAAAAGAAAGAACTCTTATCATTTGCAACAGCGTGGATGGACCTGGAGAGTATTATGCTGAGCAAAATAAGCCAGTTAGAGAAAGAGATAAGTATCACAGGATCTCACTTATATGTGGAATTTAATGAACCAAATAAATTGATGATCAAAAATAGATTCAGAAACATAGAAGCATGAACAGACTGTTGAACCTCAGAGGGAAGGTGGGGGAGGGGTAAAAAGCAGGGAGAGATCAACCATGAACTTGTATGCATATGTGCATAACCAGTGGACACAGACAACGGGGTGGTGAGGGTTTGGGGATGGGGTAGGGGAGACAGGAGCAGTCTGAAAGAGGTTAATGGGGGAAAAAGAAGGATCTATATAATAATTTCAATAATAAAGGTAAAAAATAAAAATGAAACATAAAATTTCATTAAAAAAATAAAAATAACTTTACATTCATAGCAAATGACCTAAATAGACACTTCTCCAAAGAAGACATACAGAAGGCCAAGAGACATATGAAAACATGCTCAAAGTCACTGATCATCAGAAAGCTGAAAATTAAAACAACAATGAGGTATTACCTCACACCTGTCAAAATGGCTACCATCAACAAGTCAACAAATGACAAGTGCTGGTGAGGATATGGGGAAAAGAAAACCCTAGTACACTGCTGGTGGGAATGCAGACTGATGCAATCATAATGGAAAGCAGTATGGAGTTTCCTCAAAAAATTAAATATTGAATTGCCATTTGACCCAGTGATCCCACTTCTAGAAATACAGCCTAAGAAACCCAAAGCACCAATCAGAAAGAATGTATGCACCCTATATTTATAGCAGCACAATTTACAATAGCTAAGATTGTGAAACAGCCCAAGTGCCCATCAGTAGGTGAGTGGATAAAAAAGCTGTGATACATTTACTAATATACTATGGAATACTATGCAGCAGTAAAAAAGAAGAATATCCTACCCTTTGAAATAGCATGGAGGGACCTGGAGAGCATCATGCTAAACGAAATAAGCCAGTCAAAAGTATCACATAATCACACTCATATGTGGAATCTAAGTAACAAAATAAACCGATGAACCGAGTGGAGTGGGTCCAGAGACATGAAGCATGGAACAGAGTGCAGAATCTCAGAGGGGAGGTGGGGAAGGTGGGTGGGAGGTAATCAACCAAAGACCTTGTATGCATATATGCATAACCCATGGACACAGACAATAGGGTGCTGAAAGCCTGGGGTGGAAGGGGAGGGGACAGGCGCAGGGGCAGGCTGGAGCGGGGTCAGTGGTGGAAAAAAGGGGACATATGTAACACTCTCAACATTAAAGAATTATTAAAAAATAAAACAATAACTACATTTATAGAAAAGTTATAAACATAGTACAAAGAGTATTATACAACCATCTCTTTTTCCCCCCT